TGAGACAATAGGCACGAACCTGGAGAACATTTAATGAAATGTGCCAGACATAAAAAAGGCTTTTATGTGTGGAATCTTGAAAATCCAGCTCCCAAAAGTGGAGAGTAGAATGGTGGTTGCTGGTGCTGGGGTTGGAGACATGGAGAGATGCTGGTAAAGGGTGCAGTGTGTGGTTTTAAGGGAAGAGTAAGTCCTGGAGAGCTCACATACCTGGTGATGATGATTAACAATATTGTATTATACAACTGAAATTTGCTGAAAGAGTGGATCTTAAGCATTTCTACAAAAATATTGTAACCATGTGAGATGATAGATATGTTAATTAGCTTGATTATCATAATAATTTCACAATGTATATTCATATCAAGACATTACATTGCATACCTTAATAGCTATACATTTTTAAATTTGTCAAGTCTACCTCAATATATCTGGGAAAAAAATAATACAAAAGTAATGAAAAAATTAAAAACTATTATGCGCCAAAAGACATTATTAACAATTGAAAAGCAACCTACAGAATGGGAGAAAATATTTGCAAATCATAGAGCAGATAAAGATCCAGTTGCTAGAATCTATGAAGAACTCTTACAACTCAACAACAAAAAGAAAGAAACACTCCAACTTAAAAATGGGTAAAGGACTCAAAGTGACATTTCTCCAAAGAAAAATATACAAGTGTCCACAAGTGCATCTGATGGTGCCACTGTCATTAGTCATTAGCAAATGCAAATGAAAACCACCATGAACTAGAAGGTCTTACCAGCTCTGATGTCTATATTTACTAGAATGAGAAGTTACAAGTCTGGTGGGCTGTGGGGACTTTGGAACTTGGGCATTGCTGGTAGAAGGCTAAGTGGAGTGTCCGCCGTGGAAAACCACCTGGCACTTCCTCGGTGTTACACACAGAATTCCCAGGTGCCCCAGTGATTCTACTCTTGTGAAAGCAGGTACCCAAACATAACCTTCAGGAGAGTGTTCATAATAGCCCTATGACAACAGCCCGAAGTTGGAAAGGACCCAAATGCGTCTCTGCAGATGAACAAATAAACACTGTGGTTTCTACTCACTTTGGAATGTTCTTCAGCTACAGCGAGAGCCTGCCCTGGCTCAGCACACGCAGGTGAGAAGCTGCTCCTGGGGTACTGGACTCCATTACTTGGGGTGATGGGGTTTGGGATCTAGATAGAGGCAGCGGCCACACATTGCGACGTACTAAATGACAACTGTTCACTTTAAGTGGTTAATTTTGTTATGATAATTTCCCCTCAATTAAAAATGTCTTCTGTTCCCGTGTCTTAGGATGATAGTGAAGGATTTCCTCTGACAAAATGGGGAAGTCATTTTAAAATGAGGAAGATGTGGGATCCAACAAACAGCAGTGAATCTCAGAGGCCGGGGGACCTGCCGACGTCAGCAGGCGGACAGGCAGCCGGGCAGGTGGCGGCGTGCAGAAGCTCCGGGGAGACTGCACGGAGGATGTGCACCAAAGAGGCACAAAACTGGCAGAGAATTTGAGGTGGATTTAGTGAAAATGCATAAAGACCTTCCAAGAAGACACTCACCAATTCTAGGGAGAAATGTGGAAGTATGCTGTGAGGCCCAGTTGCAAACAGCATTTCCACAGTCACAAAAATACAAACACGGAATAAATATCTAACCAAAATTACAACAGAATCACACAGGGAACAAATGGGAGAGGACACGTGTGTGGGTGTGACAGTGTGTGTGGTATGTGTGGCGAATGCTGTGTGTGTGCTACATGTCTCTTGTGTTTGTGAAAGAGTGTGTTATGTGTGCAGTGTAAGGGGTGGGTGTGAGGTGTATGTATGGATGTGCGGGTGTGTGGGGTGTGGGTGTGAGAGAGGGGAGTGTCTGGGGATGTGAGGTGTGTGGTACGATTTTCAAAGCTAAATCTTAATATTCCAGAGTAGGGAGTTGTTGTAGTCAGCGTTTCAGCCAGTGAGACTCCAAGATGTGACTAGCACAATCGTAGGGGAGGAAGAGTTTATTTGGAGGCTCCCGGTTTCAGAGGTCTCAGTCCCTAGTCAGCAGCTCCATTCCTCAGGACTGGAGGTGAGGCAGAGCATCATGGTGGAAGAGCGGGGTGGAGAGAAGCAGCTCACCTGATGATCAGGAAGCAGAGAGACTCCACTCTCCAGATACAAATATCCAGCCCAAACCCACGCCCCCCAAAACCTGCCTCCTCCAGCCACCTCCCACCTGCCTCCAGTTACCACTCAGTGAATCCCACTGGGGATTATTTCACTGGTTGCGTTGAGATTCTCACAACCAAATAATTTCTCCTCTAAACCTTCCCGCACTGTCTTACACGTGAGCTTTTGGGGGACACCTCACAGCCAATCCATAACCGAAGCCAACAGGTGGTGGTTACAATGGGTGAAAGCAGTGTCTGGAATGGAAAGTTCTTGGAGGCTGGAGGCCAGGAGCCAGCCTAAGGGCTTGGAGAAGGAAAGGCAGGGCCTCATAGAACTTTTTGACTCTTTAAACCGTGTGCACATATAAAGTTGATGGAAAACAACAAAATTAAAATAATTTAGAGATGTACCGAAATAAATTGGTTGGGCTCAATGACGGATAGTGGTTGTCGGGGAGAGGAGACCATGCAGGCTGGGGATGGGGAGGAGCAGAGTGGAACTTGTGATTGCTGCGGGGCCGGGCCAGCGCTGTACCACTGAGCTACACCCAGGTCTCCCTAAATTGCCCAGGCTGGCCACCAACTTGTCAGTCTCCTACCTCAGCCTCCTGATTACCTGGGATTATGTGTATGCCATTGCTAGAGTAGAATTTTTAAAAATTGGGTTTAGGGGCTGGGATTGTGGCTCAGTGATAGAGCATTTGCCTAGCATGTGTGAAGCACTGGGTTCGAGTCTCAGCACCGCATATAAATAAATGAATAAAATAAAGGTTCATCAACACCTAAAAAAATATTTTTTAAAAAATTGGGTTTGATCTTTTGGGCCTTTTTTCTAGAAGTTAATATGACAAAGTGTTCACAATAGTTGACTGTATGTTGTGGGAAGGTTGGTAAGTTGTTTTAGCACTGTTCACTCTGTACTTTCCTTATATTTAACACTGCTAAAATTAACATCATCTAATGAGCTTTATAACAGCCACACAGCGGAGGACGGGGAGTTAGCTTTAGTGCAGTTTACACACTGAGCTGCTAATATAAAACAAACAATATTTTTTTTTTAAAAATGACTATTTTTAGAATAAATGGATGGGGCATGCCAACCAAGTGTGTGGGGGGTCTGTCTTGGTTCCTGGTCCCCACCTGGGGCACGCCGTCTTCTCCATGCTCTCACATTTTCCAAGGTGTTGAGGAAGGACACACAGGACCTGAAGCTTTGACACTCCCTGGTTTGAGAGAAGACGAGGAACTCAGGGACTGAGTGCAGACTTGGAAGGACTGTCACTGGAAGAGAGAGCAAGTGATGGCTGGCCTAGGGGACGGATCCGTACTGCTGACCACATTCATTGATCATCTGTGTGCTAGGTTCTGTGGCTGCACCGAATCTCTTCTTTCTAAATCCAGCGTAGTATACTTGTTTTGTACCTTTGTAAGAAAGGTGATAACAGCAAACCAGTCATCTGGTCAGAAGAGCAATTTCCAAGGCACAACCCCCAGGGAATTTCAAATGCATCTTCTACATTTATCAGCATTTATTTATTTATTTTTTTAATACTTATTTTTTAGTTTTCGGCGGACACAACATCTTTGTTGGTATGTGGTGCTGAGGATCGAACCCAGGCCACACGCATGCCAGGCGAGCGCGATACCGCTTGAGCCACATCCCCAGCCCCGTTTTATCAGCATTTATTTAATAGACTTCAATGATTAGTGAATGACAATTGAGTCACAGAATACTACTTTGACGTTTTGTGTGTTTACCAAACCACAGAAGATACAGTTTTTGTTTTTGTTGGTCATTTCTGAAGCCAATTTTAAAGCTATAAAAGGTCTTACGCAAGTTGAAAGAACTAATATGCAGTAAGAGAATGGCAGTTGATAAAGGGTACTCTATTTAGGATTTTTGCTAAAAGAATAGATTAAGCAACTCTTGCCATAGGGTAGAAAATGAATAATCATGTGAGATGATGGATACGTCAATTTATTCCACTATAATAACCATTTTACTATATGTACATTATGGAAGTATGTTGTATACCTTAAGTATACACAATAATATTAATTTTAAAGGGTCTTAATGATGGACAATTTTAAAAGTATAAATACAATGTATAATATGCCTTTTCACTTATTAGAAAAACATGTGTTTTTACATACATATATCATATATATAACACATGGGCCCAATTACTGTAAGAATACAATTTTTAAAAATCAGAATGTATTCCAGTTATTAAGCATAGCTCTGAAGTTTTGTCTTCACTGTGCTTATATTACTAATTGAAGTGGAAGGAAATTGTTACACTGATCTCAGCGGTGAAGTTTCTCCTTTATTACTTATTCAAATAGGGAAGAGAGACTTAAAGAGGAAATAGGATGTTCCCTTCCCCATACAATATGTACAGTAACCAAGTGGTTGGCCACATTATAAAGAGGAACCAAATAAAAATCTGTTTCAAAATATTAAGAGCACCCTTTGTGAAATGAGTTAGAATTACTATTAGCCTCCCACCCATTTACATGTTTTTTTTTCCCTGAGTGGATTCTCCACAGTGTTGAAGGTCAGTGGAAAGGTCACCATCTCACCCAGGTTCTGCACAACCTGCTGCAGACATGGCACAGGAGGGCTATTGGTTAAGGTATCTACCCCCTCCTCCCTGGGACAGATGTGCACCATGGTAAGCCACTTTTTGCCTGTTAAATCAGATGAGCAAAGAATGTTTTGTGAACATGGCTTTCTAGGAACCCATCAACAGCACAAAAGCACATGAATTTGCAGAGGGAGAATACAGTGTAAAACTGGACATTTTGAGGAGAAATAACCAAGTGCATTGGTTTTCTTGTGTTATTTATTTATTTATTTATTTATTTATTTTTTCTGGTCAAAATTACAGGTCTTGGAGCTCCCTGACACTCTCTTCCCAACCTGGCCATTACCTCTCTGGGTTTGAATTAATCCAAAAGAGACACAGAGGACAGTCCTCCTCCAAAACCTTTCCTACCTTTTTTTTTTGTTGTTGTTTGTTTTTGTTTTTTAATTCAAAGTTTATGGTATGGAGCATCAGGGAAGAAAGTGAGATTGTCCCTCACTGGCCTCATGCTCTGTCCACCAAGCCACCTGAGGTGTGGTCCAGGAGCCAGCCGTTGGCGGGAGACGGTCATTTCCTGGAGCGCAGGGCAGACAGCGAACCCCAAACCAACACCCAGCGGGGCGACGGTCCTGCCTGTCCCTCCTCGCAGGGTGGGGACCCTGGCTGCCCAGGCAGCGCCGCGGGTGCCCCCGCCCCTGCAGTGGGTCCCCGTGACTCTGCGGGAATGCAGGCCGCTGCTGCCCCGGCCGGCTCCAGCCTTCCCGGAGCCTCCGCTCCCCCTGGAGCAGGAGTGGTCCGCAGGAACGGGCCACTGCCCGCACCACCTCCCACCCCTGGCCTTGGGTTGCTTTCTCACTTTCAGCCCTGCTCCTGGCAGATTTTGCAGCCTCAGAAGGACTTGAACCCATCTGCTGCCCGAAGCCACTGAGGATACTTGGGTGCGACAGGTTTTGCAGGCTCCTAGGGCTGCGGCCCCAGAACAAGATGTGGTCTGCCGCCCCCTGCCGGCCCTTGTTGGTATTCGCTTTTGTTTCTAAGTGGCCCCTCGTGTTCACCAAGCAGAACGTTACAAAGGCAGAGTCGCTGAGGATAAATGTCTGCAAATTACAGAAAAGATTTTTTGTTTTTCCTTACAAAAAGTTGCTCTTCTGTTTAGCAATAGGTTTTCCCAGCCCAGCCAGCACTTCTGTGGGTGGGTTTTAAGACTTGAGTGCGTCAGAGCTGTTGCCTCTGGGCAGTGGGATGGCCCAAGGGGAGTTACAGTAACTCTGAAAACTCCAAGCCCTTGGATGAGGCAACCTTTCCAGGGCTGGTGTGAAACATAACCTACTTCTCTCTTACGATTTACCCACCCCACAAAAGAAGCAAGCCTCTGCAGAGTAAGGCTTACCAAGAGGCTTTTGCAGAAGAAAACGCTGGATGAGCTGATTCAGGACTTGGCGTCTGATTTTGACAGACTCTTTGTTGAGCACCAACATACCCTGTGCAGATTTGTGGGCAGACGATGGAAATAAGAATCCGCAGCTCAACTCTTCCTAGAGTTTGGCTTCTGTTTCGTGATGTTCATGCTAAAAACAAAACAAACAAAACCCTGCACAAGTAAATGGTAAACTCAGTACAAGAAACTAGAAAGCACGAGCCCCGGCAATTAGTCCTTGTGGTGGTCCCCTGTGGTTCAAGCAGATTACTATGACTGGCCTTGGGCTCTGATTGGAATTCTGCTCCTTGTCTCATTGTTTGACGTGGTCTCTTTGGGCCAGGCACGAGCAAAGCTATGAATGATCAGATATAAAAGAAGTAAGTACTCAATAAACACTTATTCTGGGTCCTGCCATTGCTGACTGTGGTGGTGACAGGCTGGAGGGTTTAGCAGTAAGGCGTGGGGCTGAGAGGCCTGGCACTGGTATTGAATCTCTACTGCACCTGGATCTGGCCTGACCGGCTGTGTGACTTTGGGCAAGTTACTGGGCCTCTGCTAGTCTCTCTACTGGTACTTTCTGAATGATAGGATCAGTACCTTCCTTGTGGGGTCACGATGAGGAGTGACCTATGAGATAACCTGTGACCTGGTGAGATGAAATGACCTAGGTGAAGAGCTTAGGATACTACCTAGTATCCAGCCACGACTCAGTCGAGCTTGACCATTTTGATGATGGTAATTCCCTCCTCCGAGTCGCACACTGTAGTGCAATGGTTCCAAGCAGTCACTTGGACCCAGATGTTTGTGTTGGAACCTGGCTCTGCCAATTTCCATTGACATCACTTTGAGCAGGAGAGTTTCAGTGTCCTGATCTATGAAATAATAGCAGAGAACTCTGGTGATGTCAGCAGGGGGTGGGGCTTTGCTGTATATGATTCATAGCTTTGCTCGTGCCTGGCACAGAGTAGACAGGTCTATTGTAGCAAATGATGAATAAAAATGTCTTTAAATTAGCCACCCATGCTTAGCTGTTCCCCGAGATCATAATGTCTTCATCTAATTTTACTTTTCCATTTGTTTGCTTATCGGGTTAATTCTTAGGGATTGCCACAATGTCTGCACTCAGCGGTCCTTCCCAGGAGAAAACTGAGAACTGCCCACAGCCCCGGTTGGAACTGTGGCTTCCCGACGGTGGTCCTCTGCCCACCTCAGTACCGTGAATTGAACCTAAACTACATCCCCCATCCTTTTTAACTTTGAAACAGGGTCTTACTAAGTTGCCCAGGCTTGCCTTGAACTTCTGATCCTCTTGCTTCAGCCTCCTGAGTCTCTGGAATTACAATATTCTCCTCTGTCTGCCCCAATAGATCCTAGTCCTTCTGCAGGCTTTAATGCAAAGTAATTTTAGAAGCCCCTCAAGGACTTTTGATGGTGATTCCTGCTGGTTATTGCCTGGAAGGTGGCAATGCTTCTCTGAGGAACGAAATGCTGTAACTCTAGCTCCCTTAGGTACTCAAAATATTGAAACTTGGTTTTGAAAAGTAGGTCCAATAAAACTAAGCACTGTTTGCAATACTCTTTCCAATGCCTGGGCATGCACTTTTATACATACCACTTAATTGTACAGAGTTTTGCCCTGAGAGGCATCCACTTTAGATGGACTTCCTTTGGTGACGGGGAGGATGGTGGAAGGAACTGGGCTAGGGAGCCAGGCAAGCTGATGTAAGAGATGGGTCAGCTCTCCTTTTCCTGTGTATCCTGTCAAAACCATGTCCAAGCTGGATATGGTGGTGCACACCTGTAATCTCAGGGACTTGGGAAGTTGAGGCAAGAGGATTGCAGATTTGAGGCCAGTCTCAGCAACTTAGCAAGACCCTGTCTCAAAATGAAAAAATAAAGAGGGCTGGGGATATGGCTCCGTGGGTACGTGCCCCTGGGTTCCATTCCTGATACAGAAATAAATCCACAAACAAACAAACACAACAATGTCCACACAGCTTTGTGAACTGGAATGTCAACTTGCAGGATTTCTTTCCCCTCTGGCAACACAGAGGACACCGATCAGATCAGAAAGGGCCTCGGGAGGTCCGGGAGCTCTGCTGGGTTCCTGTGCTCCACGAGTAGGAATCAGAGGTTTGTCCTGCCACGAAGGTCAAAGGCCTGGAAGACTGGGGGCCTCAAGTTCCCCACAAATGACATCCTTTTGTTTCCAGAGGCCTGGACCTTCCCAAGCCTGTGGCTCTTCCAGCCTTTAGATTAAAATCCACAAGATCCAGCCGGCCAAGTAACCCCTTCCCATTCAGCAGGCTCCAGTCTAACTCCCCTCTGACCTGCTCCCTGAGGTGCCTCACCTACACCTTCTGGTCTAACCGGATGTCTACTCAGCTCAGGCTGCTGTAACAAAACACCTCAGACTGGGTGGCTTCCACTCAGACGTTATTCCTCACAGTTCACAAGCCCGGGAGGCCAAGGTCAACAAGGTCAAGGTGCTGGCAGATGGTGTCTGAGGTGGGCCACTTCCTGACTCAGAGTCCTTGTGCCTTCTTCATTCTGACACGGCATTTCCTGTGTGCTTGTGCAGGGAGGTGTGTGTGTGTGTGTGTGTGTGTGTGTGTGTGTAGATCTCTCATTCTTCTTCTTATAAGAGCGTGAATCTCATTGTGGGAATTCCTCACCCCCCTTCATGGCCTCAAATAGCCCTGCTTACCTCCCAAAGGCCACACATCCAAGATGTCACACTGGGGCTTAAGGATTTATCATATAAGTTTTGAGGGGACACAAACATTCAGGACATAACATCAGGGGTTGCAAACTCGGATGCATACAGGAGTCAGGAAGGCAAAGTGGATTATTTTTTTGCGGGGGGGTGGGGGTGCTGGGGTTGAACTCACGGGTACTAGACCCCTGAGCCACATCCCAGCCCTATTTTGTATCTTATTTAGAGACAGGGTCTCACTGAACTGCTTAGGGCCTCACTTTTGCTGAGGCTGGCTTTGAACTCGCCATCCTCCTGCCTCAGCCTCCTGAGCTGCTGGGATCACAGGCGTGCATCATCAAGCCCAGCCAAAGTGAACTCTTGCTAAGAGTCAAACCCCACATTTTAATAACAGTCCTCAGCAAACTACAATTGTCACTCCTGCCAGCCACGGAATACCAAGCTCGCTGTCTCTTTCTCCTCCGAGATCCCCTATTCCCTGACCCAGCCAGGGCAGCTCAGACATTCCACACACAGCCAGGAGGCCAGTGTCCCCCCAGCCTTCACCATGCGGGGACACTTCCTGCCTGGGCTGAGGTGCTGGAGGCCAGTCATTGGCCTGTCTCTTGGGAAGGTACCAGGAGCTACGCCGGGCCCCAGCTGTGCCTCCTGAGAGCCTGGGCCCAGCAGAGCCTGGAGTCCATCCTGGCCTGGCCGAGCAGCCAGCCCCTGTGTCCCTGTGGGCTCCCACTGCCATCTCCTGTGGACAGCGCAGACCTTGTCCACCGGCTCCATCTCCTCCTCCAGCTGCCCCTGTGTGCTCTGGAGACCCTGGGGCAGAAGTAGAATCCCGAGGGAAACCCTTGGATTCCCTGCCATGAGAGCAGACGCCCGTCACTCACTGCCCAGTTCATGGTCCTTTGCTCTGGTGGGGACATCTTTCCTCCAGCGAGGGCTCCCCTCCCTCCTGGGGCTCTAGGTGTGTTGGTGACGTGGCTGCTTCTCGCCCTCCTCAGCGCCGTCTCCTCCGCCTTGCCTGGACTTGCAGTTTCTGCGTCACCCCCGCTGGCTCTCCACCAGGCCTGGCTTCCCTTCTGGCCCCTGGACCGTCTCCTTCGCTGCTAACATCCTGCAGGGTAGGAACTGGAGCTCGGCCCCTTCTGGAGGACAGAGTCGTGGCTGCCCAGTTGACCTGCAGCTGGGCTTCAGCGCTGTCCTGGGGCTGGAAGGACCCCCTCGCTCTCTACTCACACCCACGGGTTTGCCCAGGGACGGAAGGGAAGATGCTAGGATGCCCGCTCTGATGCCGATGGAGGTGCAGCTGTGCCGCGCTCACCGGGAGGAGGCTGGCTCTGGACTAAGGTCAGCGTGGGGGAGGCACCCAGGCCTCCCCAGACGTGATTCTTCATGAGAGTGCTGTGTTGGATACGTGCCCCCAGAGGCCACGTGAGAAGGGCTTGGTTCCAGGCTTGTGGCTCCTGGGGGGGTGGTGATGACACTTTCAGGAGATGGGGCCTAGTGGGAGTGAGTGAGGCCCCTGGGGGTGTGCTCTTGAAGGGGACATTGGGCCCCGGCCCCTGGCTTCCACTTGGCTTCCCGGCTGCCAGGGAGAGAGACTTTCTCTGCCACCTGCTCCAGCCATGAAGTGCGGCCTCACCATGGCCCAGAGGAACAGGGCCAAAGCACCAAGGCCTCAAACCTCCCCATTATATGAGGATCTAGATATGTACCTCTTTGTCTTATAACTTGATTACTGTAGGTATTTTGTCACAGTAAGGAAAGTGGACCAACACAGGAAGAAAGGAGCTCGCACACAAAGCTGTCCCCAACACTGTGACATCAGGCTCCTGGTTTGAGAGACTCCTGGTTTAGGGGCCAATGGTAACACCCGTCCAACCCTGCACCTCAGAGCAGAAAGCACCGTCTGGCTTGCTTTGTGGAAGAAGGACGCATGTTGATGGCAGCCACTCTGTGTTGTGATACCCACTGACCGAACGTGCCACGGCTCACCTCTCCACCAACAGACCTCAGTTTCCTGCACAATCGGACTGAACCTTGGTTCCAGAGTCTGCAGAAATGAAAACCGGACCTGGAGAGAATGGCCCAGGCAAGGCTTTTTTAGGGCCTCTGCTGGAGGCAGAAGGCAGAGGCACTGGCCAAGAGGGCCCTGCTGGCACTGAGGCCAGGTGTGCAGTTTGAGGGTCGGTGGGTAGGCAGGAGGTCAGGCTCCCAAGGTCATCACATGCAGCCGAGGGTTTACCAGCTCTGACCCTCTTCCTCCTCGTGATTCTTCATGCAACAAGTCTCGTGACATCTTGAGCCTCCACCTCATGGTTTGCCTTTTACTATGCTCACAGGGTACATGCAACTGCAGGCTACCTTGGTGCACCACTCTTCATCCTCTGGGAAAGTCCCTAATGTAACAGTGTCTCGTCTCAGTGGGTTTCATTAAGTTAGTGACCTTGTCTTCTCTGGTCTTTTGATACATTTTGTTTTTTTGGTGCTGGGGATTTAACCCAGGGTTACTTTACCACTGGGCTATATTCGCAGAATTTCTAATTTCTGTGTTTTGCTAAGTTGCTTAGGACCTCGCCAAATCATTGAGGCTGGCCTTGAACTTGGGGATCCTCCTGCCTCAGCCCTTCAAATTGCAGGGACTACAGGCATGCACCACAGGCCTGGCACCTTTTGACATTCGGCTGTCCACATAGTCTCAAAAGGCTGAGCTGACTTCCCAGCCTCCTGTCTCCTGTGGCGTCTCTCACTCCGTAACCTTGAAGACTGATTCACTTTTCACTCCGACTTTTCTGTGTGGCTGTTAACCCCATAGGACTGAGAGCCACACTGGCTGCCTCCTTTCCCCCGAGAGGCTTCATCCTTAATCCTAAGGAGCCCTGACTCTCCACTGAGAGCTCAGAGCCCATTCCCTGGGGGCCCTTTGCCTAGTAAAGACACAGTCCTCCTGGGGGGCTCTGACACCACCGGCCCCTCTGGGGGAGGGTGGGAGGGCCACTCTCTCCATCAACCTTCAGCAGAAGCAAATGTGCCTGCAGCTATTTGGGACAGCAAATTCTAAGGATCTGAGCTGTGATGGGGTGGGAGAAGAGGGGATTTTAGGGGAGCCTGTTTTGGCAAACCATAGAAAAGGTTGATTCGAGG